GTCTAGGCTTAGGTTCCCCCAGGCAGACTCTGTAACAGGAATTTGAGTGAAATAGTTTATCTCAAAGGTGAACCCAGGTGGCCAAGGTAGAAGAGTGTGACAGGGACACAGGGTTAGTGTGATAGTGAGTGAGTTTTGCCAGGCTCAGTCATATGTGGACCTTGGGTGAGAGAACCCACTGCAGGATCTTTCCCCCAATTAATAAAGTTGCCAGACTCTGTTCACCTTCAAGGGTGGCTGCTGGAGGCTTACTTCCTCAGGACCACAGTCCTGCAGTACCTCCTGGAGCCTGAGGACATCCTCAGGCAGAGTGGCAGATGCTTGGGGTAGGAAGCTGTGACGTCTTTGGGAATCATCTGCAGAGGGCCAGAAGAGTGGTGTGGGGGGAGATGGGCTGATGTGTAGCCCACCGAGTGTCAGCCGCAGCATCTGGCAGTGGGGACAGTTAAAGCACAGTGAACAAGCAGATGAATGAATGATTACAATTGTGGCAGGTGCCTTAGCAGGTGCCACATATGTGTCCTATGTGGCAGATGCTCCAGGCAAGAATGACCTAGGTCAGCTCTCCCCACATTTTTTGCCCTCAAAACCATGAGAAAAATAAAATGGTTTGTTTTCAGTGGCTAAGATTTAAAATAATTTGTGATGCTGAAATAGTAACCAGAACATTCAACCAAGAAAGGGTTCAGAGGCTGGCACTCTCGTGGGCATGCCAAATGGATCCATAGTTCCTGATTCCAGTTAGGGATCACTTCCCACAGTTTGGGGTCAGTTTTATGACATATCCATAAGGTGTGGTCAGAATGAGCCTGGTGAGAATAGTGTGTAGTTGAGGACGATGCTCAGGAATCTGTTTGGGCTCCTGGGAGGAAAGTAAGGAAGATCTGGGGAGAAGCAGGCTGTAGAGGAAGATACTAACTTCAGCTCTGAGAGGACTGTGTTTCAGGCTTCCTGAGACTCTGGGCATGTGTGCAAGAGCCATTGCAGATGTGACTTAGTTCCAGGCTGGAGTCAGATCTGGAAGTTTTGGGCAGGGAGATGGGCTCCCATGTTAGGGAGAGAAGTGTCCAAGGTGGACTCTGAGTCAAGCATTCCAGGAGATGTCATCAGTCTGGAGGTGACTTCAGGGAACATCAGTGAAGAAGCAAGTGTCTGAGGCTGGGTCCCTAGAAGCTGAGCTGGAGATAGTGTCTGAATGCATGACATTTATTAGGCTGAAGGGTATCTCAGGACTGAGGGAGGCCAGAAGCAGAGAGGAAGTTGCTGAGCAAGGATGCGACTAGCTTGATTGATGCAGGCAAAGGATTTGGGAGCAGACATGACCACAGTTGGTTGAAACCAGAGGTGAGGCCTCATATCATACCTCTGCTCAGTAGATCAATACTATATGTTATGGATTAAAGAGTTTTTGCCAGCAGAAAATTCTGTCAATAAAGATCTGGGCAAGCTGTAGCAGCCTACATTCATAGCAGGTGGAAGAAGGTGTCAGAGTTCAGGAAAGGGGTCTGAGCAGCACAGCATGGGGCAGGGGAGGGAGCAATGTGGAAGTGATCATTAGCAAGTAAAGGGGGAACCCTAAGTGATAGAGTAGAATGCACCCTAGATCATTTATAATACAATGCTTGTCAGCCTGCGTCCAGGGCTTTTCAGAACCTGTTATGCTTGTGGGCAAAGTGGACTCAGAGCAGAGAAAGCCCCCAGGAAAGATAGGCAGCAGTAGAAGCTGGAGACTGGGTAGGTGTGCAGGCAGAGTGGGTAGGCTAGGAAATGTGCACAGGGCAAAACAGCATCTCCTACAAAATCTTTATGGAAGGGCACAAAAGCAATTGAGAAGGAACAGTCAAAGAGATGGGAGGAAATCAGAAAAGGACCAGCACCATGGGATTAATTTCCGTAGACACTCCTACGTGACAGACCGTACCCATGCTATGCATCCCACTCCTGCTGTGTCTGAGTACAATCAGCCTGGTCAGCTGCGGCTCTGAAAGGCTGAAGGGGGCGCCTGTGGATCACCCACAACCTGACTAGTCTCAGCCTGACGCTGAGAAAAAACTGGGTAGCGCCCAGGCTAGGAGAGTTGAAGGAACACGTGGCCCTGGGAGTGGAAGGCACATTCGTGGTTAGTTTGGAAATCTTCCCTGAAAATAATGAGTGGAGAAATCTTTGCTGATTAGTTAAATCCGGGATAATCCTGGCTGATGAGGGCAGATCCGGACTCCTTAACGGATTTAGGGTTCCAAAACTACTCTCAGAGGTGGCCCGGGGCGGGGACATTCGCCTGGATTATGCCTCTGGCCTCAGATTTGCAAGTGGGGATCGGAGGCTGGGAGGAGCCCACATTCCCGGCTACCAGGGAACCGAGGCGGTGTCCCATGGCGAGTGCCCACAGACTTATCATCATGGGTGGATTCGGGTGCAGCTCGCTTTCTCTTGTCCATGTCTCCTAAACTTTGGAAGCTCTTCTTCTGCCTTGGCGGACGCTGAGCTAAGCTCTTTGCCCCTCTAGCTGCTGCGTTCCATCCCTTGGCGCTGCGGGACTGAACTGATCCCCGCGGCACAGGACGCGCGACTGGACACTGGTTCCCTCGAAGCAGCTGGGCGCGGATTCGAGACTGGAGTAGGAAGGTGTTTGTTAGTGGAGAGAGGGCAGTGAAAGTGTTTTCTGATGTTTTGTTCCTGAAACAGCCATGCTGTGACAGGGAAGGCGCCCCAGGATCCAGCTCGCCCTGTGTGAGGGTCCCGGGATTGTAGAAGGCGTTAGGGACGCCTCAGTTCAGAAATTGCAGAACCCCCTTAGAGCCCCTCAAAGCCCCACCCTGGGCTCTTTGTTCTCGCTCCTTTGCTCTACTTCGACTTCTCCATTTCTCTCTCGGCGTCCGGTGTGATCTGGCTAGTGTCTGTAAAGTGGTTTGGTAAAATCTTTCCCAAGGGGTTGGAGACAGGTCTGCTCTTGGCTACTGCACTGAGCTCACTGTGTGGAGTCTTAGGTTAAGCTCCCGTCCTTTTGGTACCTTTGGATCCCTGGTCGTCTTCTGCCTCCCCAGGCATAAACTAAGGGAGGGAGGCCCCAAGACCCTGGACCAGGTGAAGCGGTGGTGTCCGTACCCCAGCTTCTGAGACTCCTTGTGGGGGACCCTAGTCGATCCACCTTACAGCCAACTGTCCCGCCTGCCCACCCTGGTTGCGAACTACAAAATGTGTACAATCATAGCTATCTCTCAACTGTGACCCAAATTCAGATTTACAAATGACAGTGTTGCCGGGAGACGAGCTCGAGGATTTGGCATGGTTCTGTATCTCTGACGCCTTTCCCTGAATCCAGAGGTAAATTTCGTGGAAAATTCCTGGCACAGCGGAAAAATGACGCCGGGGTTTAAAATGGCAAACCCCTCTTCCCCACCCCCACCCCGAAACCTCCCCAGCAATTCAACGGACAATTATCCCAAAGGAAAGTTATTGTTTTGCTAATCCGGGAACAGCTTGAGGGGAGATTTGGGTCTTCCTTTAATAATGGAACTTTAATGCGCAGCCTCTTGCAATTATCTTTATGAGAAGCCCCCTGTTTAATCCGCACGTTCAGCAGAAACCCTACTCGAACTCGCAAGCGAGTAGAGACCTACTTTGCAGGACAGTGCTCCGGCTCCTGCGTACAACAGGGAGCAGCGCCCAGTCCCTCAAGGTGGTTGAGAGTTGCCCCTTCGACTGTCGGGTCCTCCGGAAGTGCGAGTGAGGCGATTCAGCTTTGTGGTTCTGTTACTGGGAAGATTACGCTCAGGTCTCCGAGCAGAGGTAGAAGTACCCAAGGCTAAGCCAGGAGCTTGGCTTACCCACCAGCTTCGTTCGGCGCCAGTTTCACATGAAAAGCGGGTTGTCTTTGAATAAACATAGAATCGGACAATTTTGTTAGTCTCCGTGAAAAGGCATGTGGCACAGTAGATGGACTCTATTTTATCTCAATTCTCCCCCAGCCCATTTAGAATTGCTGGATAAAATACTGGCACACACTTATACAAAAATAATACTCATTGTTTATCTGAAATTTAAATTTCACCGAGATCGGCGTAGTTTTGTTAAACCTAGCACCCTGTCCCCATCGTCCGGGTCCCGCCAAGACCACATCTGCTTCTACTTTAGCTCTGGCGACTTTGTGACCCACTGCAGCCCAGCCTGGAGAGTCCTGGGGCAAATTTAGGCTGGAGGCAGAGTGGCTGTGAATTATATGAACGTTTTCCACCCATTTCCTTTTGAGAATTTTCAGGAAGACCTTCTTGGCCGTGGCAGTGGAGTTGGAGGGCTGGCAGGGGTCATTTTGGTGGTAATGGTCGGGGTGCTGCTGGGAATGAGGCCTTCGGTCTTTTTCTCTGGGGTTGGGGGTAACTGGGGTTAGAACTCAGGGTTTCGCTGTCGCAAAGCAGGCTCTCTAGCGCTTGAGCCACACCTCTATTCCATTTTGCTCTGACCATTTTGGAGATGGGGGGGCGGGTCTCGCGAACTATTTCCCCGCGCTGGCCTCGAACCACGATTTTCCTGATCTCAGCCTCCAAAGTAGCTAGGCTTACAGGCATGAGCCACCGGTGCCTGATTGGCCCTCGGACTTAATGAGCAATTGGAAGGTGTCGGAGGGTTTGGGAAGTCAGGGAGAATATGGAAAGAAGACCAAACCAGGATGTGGAAATTGTGGCTTTTAGAGGGACAGACAGCGGAGTCGTCCCTTCCTCCCCCTAACCTTGGAGAATGGGGTTGGGGTAGGCAAGGGACAGCTGGAGAGGAGAAAAGGAAGTGATTGAGGGACTACAGCTGGGAGGGCGGCAACCTGGGGAGGAGAATGGGTGGTGTCCCCACTTCGTGGATCCGGATAGTGACGGGTCTGCATCCCGCTGATTGGAGCCTTCCAGACCATGGGTGCTCGATGGGCAGCCCAGGCGTATAAAGCGGCTTCTGAACTAAGCAAATGTGACCAGAGAGAATCGCACTTCGCCTCGCCTACCCGGCTGAGAATCATGACCGGACGGGACGCGCTTTCTGATGGGCGCGTCAGGAGCAGGGTCCTGGTGCCCGGCGGTTCCCCCACGGGCTCACGCCCTCGAAGCTTCGCCATCACAGACCTGCTGGGTTTGGAGGCCGACCTGCCGGCCCCCGCCGGCCCGGGGCCGGGATCCAGCTGTGAGAGCCCGGCGGCCTCACGAGGCCCGGGGCCTGGGCTCGGCGGCTCCTGCTTGGCGCGTGGGGCTCTCCCGCTGGGGCTGGGCCTGGGCCTCCTCTGTGGCTTTAGCGCCCAGCCGCCCTCTGCTGCTCGGGCACCCTGTCTGCTTCTGGCCGACTTGCCGTTTCTGCCTCCTGGGGGACCCGAGTCCGCTGCCCCGCAGGGTCCTGGCCACACGCCGCCCGCGCTTCACCGCCAGAAGCGCAACGAGAACCTCTCCACGTCCGGTAACCAGGCCAGCAATTCCCGCCCCTGTCCCCCACCCTCGTGGCTTCGAGCCGCACAAGGATAACACACAATCATCACCCCACTGCTGCCCCAGATCTCGGGGAAGTCGGGACCCCATAGGGAGGCTCAGTTGGGAGAGGCATATTCGTGTTGGTTGCGCCATATGCTCCCTTGCTGTACCCCAAATCCCTCCTGTCCCCCGAGATCCTATTCCCGCAGGGCTGCGGGGACCGCCACCACCGCCCTGGGATGATGCCACGGGCCGGTGGCGGAGCATGGGGGGGCAGGGTATTGGCGCCCTAATGACCTTTTTCCCCAGCACTTGGCGAGAGTCTCGGCCTCGGGGAATGACTTGGGCAGGTCTGGTTCACCAGCAGCAGGAAATCTGATGCCCCGAGGGCGGGCAAAGGTTTGCAGAAGCTTGGAGAGGGCTGGGCGGTGAGCCCGGGAACTGTCACCCCCTCCCGGTGCTGAAAAACGAGTCCAGGGTTTCGCGCTCCTCCGCTTCCTGTCCTGTTCTTGACTCCAGCACGTGGGATAGATAATATCCTGACTGATTTCACTGTATTTGTGCTCGACTTTTGCTCAGAGTTCACCTATTTCCTCAAAAAAAAAAAAATAGGGAAGAATTATGGGGGAGAGAAGAAAACTAAAGAATTTCCATAAAGAACAAGAGAAAGAAACTGAATTTTGGAGATGTGGGGAAAGGAAAAGGAGAATTACACAAGAAAACATGGACCTAGTGAAATTGTATGGTAGATCCTAGAATACAGCATCCAGACAGCCAAGACAAAGAGACTACATTGTGTGTTGCCGACAATAAAAGAAAGCTTGCAGACTGGGACTCAAGTTGTAGAGCACTTGCCCTAGCAAGGGAGGGGCCCTGAGTTCAGTTTCCAGGACTGCCAAAAGTAAATAAATAAAAATAAAAAGGAAGCATCTCAGATAAAGAGATGGGTGAGCACTTGGCTCAGAAAGAACTTTATTTCACAATCTTCTTTGCAAGATAAAATGAAATCCTCTATTAAGTTGTTTCACTAAAACAAAGACCACCTTCATAGGAAGGATTCCTTTTTTTCTACAATCTCTGATAAACCTAAGTTAAAACACAACTAAATCCTATCCTGTGAGTAGTTTTCATGAAGTTATAGAGCAGTGTCCAACAGAAGTAGTACAATATGACTGTGTTTGGTAAAAATTCTGTCACTTTGAAAGGAAAAAGAAACAGGTGAGGTTAATTTAAAAACTATTTTTTGGTGGTGTTGGGAATCACAGTCAGGGCTTTGGGCATGCTAGGCAAGCAGTCTACCACTGAGCTACACCCCCACCTAAATACTATATTTTAAATCCAGTATGTATAAGTATTATTTCAATGTAATCAGTACAAAACTATTTTACTTTGAGGGGAGCACTAAGACTTTTAAATCTACTGAGTAATTTTTTATTCATGATTGGTTTCTGTCTGAATAGACACATCTCATGTGCCTAATAACCTTATGTGTTTAATAGCTACCTGGCCAGAGCATAGAGTGTTACAACCCAAGCACACAGTTTTCTGGTGATCTAATTAATGCAGAAGTAAAACTAGTGTTATTTTTGCCTTTACTCATTCTTTTTAATATTTTGAGACAATTAATTATACTTTTGAATGATGAACCTGACCATAGTTTGGTTTTCTAATCTTCCTTTCCATCTGGATCTTTCAATATAATTGATGTAATATAAGCCAAGCACGGTAGAGTGGTTCTTAAGTTTTCAAGTATACACATCATCTGAGCACACGTGGCAGGAGTGTTTCCTGGGTCCACTTCTACACAGTCTGAATTGGTACATCAGGGCAGCGAGAGTTCTGACAAAGATTCTGGTGATAAAAAACCTCAGCTCTGCTCTTGAGAACTGGTATAGAAGTTAAATGAGAGGAGAGGTAGAGGGAAGCAGGTGAATTTAGCAGCTGTGGGAGTTTAGAAAAGGCAAAAAGTAGCCAAGTAACTTTGGCTTCACACAATTGCTTACTATCTTGTGGTCTTGGGCAACTTACTTAATTTCTTTCTCTTGGTTTCCTCATCTGTAAAAGGTTAATAATGACAGCTATCTTGGGGTCTGTTTACTGGAAGAATAATTAAGATAATGCATGGACAATATTAAGCACAGTGCCTAGAATCTGAGAAGTGATAAAAATGCTAGCTTATATTGTCAAATGTATTCCTAATGGGTTCATAATTTCAACAACCCTCACATTAAAATCCAGGAAATAATAAAAAACTCTCTCACCTTTAGAGTCTTCTTCTTGTCCTAACAGATGAGGACAGCCCATGTGAAAACACGAGTGACCTGAAGGCGTCCCCCACCCTTGGCAAGAGGAAAAAGCGGAGGCACAGGTACAGACCAGGCTGTCCTTTCTGACAGCCTTTCCCCAGACATAGCCTTATTGTCTATGGGACCAGCATCTGAGAATGTGTGGCCCTGGTTATGGCAGGCCCAGTGGCCTCCTGGCTGGCAGTGAGAGGGGCACAGATGCCATTTGTAAAGATAATTCTGCAATTCCCATGAGGCTGCAGGATAATTTTTGTGACATTTTAAAGATGTGATTTTTCTTGGTCTGTAAAATGGGTCTTGTCAGAATGAGTTAATGGAATTTATTAAGAAAGAGCTATAGGCTCAGTGGTGGAGTACGCATTGGCATGCACAAGGTTCTGGTTTTCAATTTCCAGCATGCACGCATGGATGTACACACATGTGCACACACAGAAGAAGAAAGAGTTAAAGAACTCTATATTGCATTGAACCAAACTTCTGGATGTCTATGAAGTTTGAGACTTTCTGGTTTTCAGAGGTGGGCTGACCAATGGTCAAGAGATGGCTTTTGGGATAAGGACAGCAGAGGAGGCAGGCACATGGTCCTTAAGGCTGGAATGTGTGGCTGTCCTTGGGAACATGTGTCCATACTCATATGTTCCTGCAGGACGGTTTTCACTGCTCACCAGCTGGAAGAGTTGGAGAAGGCATTCAGCGAGGCTCACTACCCTGATGTATATGCCGGGAAATGCTGGCTGTGAAAACCGAGCTCCCTGAAGACAGAATACAGGTGTCTGGGGTCCTTTCTTCTTCCGAAGGACACTGCAGAGAATATGTCACAGTGAGGCAACCACAGCCAAGATGGTCCCTTCTCTCCAAAACTGAGGGTTAATTAGCTAAAGGCACCACAAGGGTCTTTCTGACCCTCAGGCCTTTTCCCCTTTTGTTATTATTTATTATTAAGCATTCTCAAAAATCACACTGTATGTGTGTGACATCTAGAAACTGCATGAAGATACATCCATGAAAAATTACTATCTCTGTGCCTTAAGTTCTCAAAGAAACCACCATATATCGCCTGGCGTGACCTTTCCACACTTATGGTCCTATCAATATTCAGGTACAGATAGATATGTATGTGCACACATATATACACACACATACTTCTTTGATTTGTCAAGATTTGCCACTAATTCACTTTTTAAAACATTTATACTGTATTCCATAAAATTCTTTCACATGATATTCTTCATGAGAAATATTAACTGCAACATGACAACCTCAGAGTAGAAGGGCCATTGCCTGTGGGCTCTTTTCAATCAATGATTAAAATCAGGATTGCAATAGTAAAGACCTCTTTACACAAAGTACTTTGCTCCTGTTTTTCATTTCT